GTTGATCTACGTTTAAGTAAGGTCAAGGGTTCGAATGTATGCAGTCGCGTTAAATCTTGGAGCCAACTATCCTACCCTTTGACGTGCTTCTAACGTGCTATCGACGATGAATACTCCAGGGACGAAAAAAAAAAACTCAAATCTTATTTAAAAATATGTTAAACATTATCGCATGAAAAACTATTTATTGGTATGTTTATTAATATAAAAAATTACATTAAATCTAATTAATGATATATAACAGTTTTAATCTGTTACTTTCAAATATATTATTGATGACTTAAGAGATTAAAACAAGATTTTAAAAATAAGGAACAAAAGATAATAGTTTTGAATTTGAGAGATTAAAAACATATTTAAGCTTATTAAAAATTTAAAAAAAAATTATGAAAAGTACAATTCTAATAAAATGAATAATTATTTTTGATCGATTGAAATTTAATTAAATATTTATTATAAACATTTTTCTCACTCTTTTTTACCAACAAATGATAGTTATTAATGAATTATGTTAATCATAGATATTCAAATTCATTTCCTCTTTGTTACTCCAACCATATGCCCCTCCTCACAACACCTATTCCACCCTATAACTCACACTTTTCTCAATATATATTCAAATCTTAGTTTTTCACATATATTGGATTATCTCTTTCCTTTAAACTATTAAAAAATATATCATGATTGAACAATTAAGTAACTATTAGTCGGGAACTTTCTTAGAATGTGAGTTACGAGTTTTACTAAACCTTATAAAAACAACTTGTAAGGTGGTAGTTGTCCCCTTACTTATAAATTCTTTATTTACTTTGTCTTTAATTAATGTAAGATTTAAGATTTTTCTAATCATTGTCTCATATTCAACACTATTAGAGTCAATGTGATGATGATGCTTCTCCATTAATTTTTCATAATTTAAAAATGCATAGAAAGGGTTCAATAATATCTTAGATTTTTATTATTTTCTAATCCCTTTTCTCCTTATTGTTTTATAAGGAAAATGATACTTGTTTTATTCAATATTTATTATTTTATAAAAATATTTTTTTTATCTTTTGTGTTTATTAAAGATTGTGAAGATGTGTGTTTATTATTATCGGTAATATTAGTGAGAGAATTTGAGATATAATAAATATTTTTCCTCTTATTTATTAAACTCCCCAATTGTTATTTATTAATCTTATTCATATTAGTTCATACATTTTTATATGAAGTAATATTTTTACCTTTCATAAAAATTTAATGATAAATGAGAAGAGTAAATTTGATATAATATGATTTTATTTTACGAACTCAATAAATTAATTAATTAACATAATTAGTTATATTCAATTAAAAATGTTTTATGATAAAGATTAAAGAAATAATATAATTTTTATTAAAATACATTAATGTTAAAAATATTTTAACAAATTTCATATTTTTTGTTTGTAATGTTCATTTTCCTTCAAATAATGTGTACAAAAATAATTTTATAACATAACCATTTGTGTTTGTATTATTATTCTTATATATTTATAGTTAGTGAAGAAACACAAATTGAAAGACTTTTTTTTATAATATATTTGTTTTTTATTTATTTATTTAAATAACTTGGGTAAGTTATTATTTACTTGAATGACTCATTTCCCTAACCAATTTCTCAACTACGGTATTTTTTTTCTTCATTTTTTTCATTTTTCATTTTTCTTTAAATTTAAAAAATAATTTTTATTTAACTTAAAATATAAAAATTTGAATATTATTTTTAATATTTAAATTTAATATTTTTAAGAAAATATATAATAGTATAATTATATTTAAAATTTAAAAATTATATTTATTATTTAAATGAAAATTTAAAAATATAGAAAATTTAATAATGTTATCTAATAATTAATTTGTTATATTTGTAAATATGTATAATTTATTTAATATATTTATTTTTCATTAATAATTATAGATAGTTAAATTTGTTATTAAAAAATTGTAATATTTCTTATTATATATTAAAATTGGAATTACAAAATAAAAAAAATGTTGGTATAAAAATACAAATTAAAATTATAGAACATGGTATTTGTGAAAGATACAATAAAATCAACCGAAATTGAGATGTAGGTCGTGAGAAATGTCTATTGAGCATTTTGACTTGAACTCCTTTGATAGTAAGGACATTTTTTCTCAGAGTGACCTATATTCCTACACAGAGAACATCTTTTTGCTTATCCTGGTTCAATCATATCCATTTCATGCGTATTCTGATGACTTCGGACAACCTTTTTTATTTTTGATCTTTTTCGAATTTGGTATGATTTGTGGTTCATCACACTCTGGCCAGTAATATTCGTTGGACAGTTCACCAAATATTTAGTTATACTTATTGGAAACATATTCTAATGTGTATACCGGATCTGTAAGATGTGTAATGGTGGTAAACATGTTTACATGCAGTAAGAACATGTAAGCATGACATGTGCAACTTCTAAAATTTGTCACAGTCACACCATTGCTTAACTAGTCTAATCGTGAAAAATCTAATTAGTCGCTCATGACCCTATTTATTATTTTTGTATAAACTTGGTCAACTCTGAGTTTAGCATCGAATTTCTTCCCTCTCTGGATGAATAATGAATTACATCTCTTAGAAGTCAACATATAATTGCATATATTGGCAAATTTCTTGTTTTTCTAAGAATGGAATTTATTGTCTTTGCTAAGTTGGTAGTCATGTGTCCCCATTGTCGGTCACCGTCCCATGCAAAAGTCCATTGTTCTCTAGGAATAATGCTAAGCCATTCAATTACACCTTAAGTTTCTGGTTCGTTTCTCAATATATTAAAGAAGTAATTGAACCTAGGCTTAGTCATCCCATAAACTATGAATTTTGAAGAGCAATAAATCATTAATTTATTATTGTTGAAATATAGTAAAACAAATATGAATAAATATTTAATTGATAAAATAAAATAAAAAAAAGAAATACATACCCATGTTGATGATTACTTTTTCTCTTTCTGCATTTCTGAAATGCCTCATGAAGTTTTGGGCAATGTGGAGAAGGCAAAAGACATGCACTAAGTTCTCCGATGTGCAACCACTACCTGGTCTAGGGTAGACATTTTTTATGGACTCATGCCTATCGGAGGTTAAGCAAAGGCCATCTTGAGGGCAAACATATCTTTTTAGATAATGTAGAAAGAAATACCATATGCATCTGGTGTTTCACCTTCAATAATGGCAAAAACAATTGAAAATATTTTGTTGTTGTCATCTTGTGCCATAGCCACGAGGAGAGTTCCTTTGTATTTTCCATACAAGAAATGTGCCTTCAACTTGAATAACGGGCTTGCAGTATTTGAATCCATCGATACAATGTTTAAATGTCCAAAATACTCAATGAAATTAAACATAATTAGAAACCATTTCATCTTGTTGGTTGTATAGTGACCTCTGTTTCTCAACAACAAATCCATTAAGAGATATTTTCATGACATTCAACAACTAGAGTAAATCATAATATGATTGTTCTCAATTGCCATGTAAGTTCTCAATTGCTTTTTCCTTTGCTATCCATGCTTTCTGGTAGGAGATTGCTTTGCCATGTAAGTCTTCAATTGCCTTTTTTCTTGTTATATAGCTTCAAAGTTTTATATCAATTAATTAAAATTAATTTAAAATATTTTTCAAAATTTTTTCATTTCTAATTATTTATCTATAATTATTAAAGGAAAATAAAAAAATAAAATCAATTTTACATATTTAAAATTTTAACAAATGATTTACTAAGTTAAAATATTAAATTATCTATATTTAAAATATAATTTAAATATTAAAAATATATTATTATTTAAATTTAAATTTTATAAAAAAAATTAAATGCTTAAAAAGATGCTAATATCTGATCCTAACAGTCTGCCACACGCATAACCTTCATTACAACTATCATCGAAAGGCCTGGTTTAGGGCCAAATAAGTAACCGTTTGTTCCCCAAACTTTATCTTACTTCTTCAACCAACGATGTAGCTCCTTTAGATGAAAAACCGAAGTTTGGTCATATATTTGATCAGATTACTGTACAACCAATTTCTTGCTAGACTTAAAAAAAAAAAAGAAAAGAAAGGGGCGGAAGTTGAGAAATCGATTTTTCCCTAACTAATTTTTCACTTAGACAAAAAAAAATGGTGACTTAGGTTATTTATAGAAATAAAAAATAATATATTAAAAAAAAAGTCAAAATTGGCAGGCTTAAAGAGAGAGAGAGTCAAAGAGTGATGACAGTGCAAGGTTCCTAGTTAGTGGCGTGGGATGCATAAAAGAATATGATGTGTGTGGAGGGTAGTAGCTCACCTAACATCCCATTCTAGACATTTCAAACCCATTCTTAATCTGCCCAAACATTTGGAATACTATAAAATGCTGGCCACCCCCAACACATTCCTTCACAGTAACACTCACACTACAGTACGTAGCACTTTGAGAAGCGAGTTTTAACCACAATGGCTAGTATTGAAATCCCCACAATGGTGCTTCCAAACTCTTGTGGTGAACAGAGAGTGCCAGTGATTGGCATGGGGTCAGCCCCTGACTTCACATGCAAGAAGGATACAAAGGAAGCAGTCATTGAGGCCATAAAGCAAGGCTATAGACACTTTGACACTGCTGCTGCTTATGGCTCAGAACAGGCTCTTGGTGAAGCTTTGAACCAAGCAATTCACCTTCGCCTTGTCACCCGTCAACAACTCTTTGTCACTTCCAAGCTTTGGGTCACTGACAATCATCCTCATCTTGTTCTTTCCGCTTTGCGCAAATCACTTAGGTCAGCAACATACTTTAACACTAATTTTGGTTAAATTTCACAATAAAATCGGATCATACAATCTTTGAAATAACTAAAACATATATATTAATATACTTAAGTGTTTTCCCTTATCCAATGCTATTATTACACTTGGTCAAGGTCGATTCCATATATGAGACTTGAGTTTATTTTCTCAATATAAAATAAATTAAATATAACGAATCATACTTCTCTAAATTAATATCAATATGCTTACGTAACTAGGTTACGTTGTAAATATATAAACTTATAGGTTTTGATATTTTTTACTTTCCTCTAAATACGACACCAACTTGCAGAAGTCTTCAACTGGAGTATTTGGATCTCTATCTCATTCACTGGCCCCTCAGTTCTCAGCCAGGGAAGTTCTCATTTCCAATCGAGGTAGAAGATCTCTTGCCTTTCGACATGAAGGGTGTGTGGGAAGCCATGGAAGAGTGCCAGAAACTTGGCCTCACCAGAGCCATTGGAGTGAGCAACTTCTCTGTCAAGAAGCTTCAGAATCTGCTTTCTGTTGCTACCATCCCTCCTGCGGTGAATCAAGTAATAGTCTTCTTCGTGTTGCTTCTTTTTATGAATTGAAGTCGAATTCAATTCACTAGCTAAAACACGTATACATTAGTTGTTTTGCTTTATTTATATGAATGATGATGAGACTAACTAATATTTATTATTTAATTACTAACTACGCACTATAGGTGGAGATGAACCTTGCGTGGCAACAAAAGAAGCTAAGAGAGTTCTGCAAAGCAAATGGGATAGTCATAACAGCGTTCTCTCCTCTGAGGAAAGGTGCGAGCAGGGGAAAAAATGAAGTGATGGAGAATGATATGTTGAAAGAGATTGCAGAGAGTCATGGAAAGTCTATAGCTCAGGTTAGTCTGAGATGGCTGTATGAAGAAGGAGTGACATTCGTGCCTAAGAGCTACGATAAGGAGAGAATGAACCAAAATCTCCACATCTTTGATTGGGCACTCACAAAGGAAGATCATCACAAAATAAATCAAATATATCAGAGCCGTTTAATCGGTGGACCCACCAAGCCCCAACTCAGTGATCTTTGGGATGATGAAATATGAACTATATGCTACCTAGTACCTCAATAATTTGCCTCGGATAGCAGTTTATTATCAATGTTCCTTATACACCTTTCCATGAACGTTGTCTTCATGTAATTCCAAAGAAATGAAATAAGGAATTTAATTATGAGTTAATCTACATCGAAAACTAGTTATATTTTTTAATAATACCATGTAAGTTATTTATTTAATAAAAAAAAAATAATTTAAAAGATATGATTAGTTACTAGAATAAAAAACTTTATATTAACGATATATAGATGATTAACTCTTTAATTATTGCCATGTATTCTAATGACAATCTTATCATATTCTCACTCAACAAATCATACAAATACCTTCTTAATATTTTTACTATCAAATTATACTTATTTTCACCAAGATAAAATAAATTAACTAAATTAAAAGAAAGTTACTTTAAGAAAATAACACTCATTTATTGTATAAACAATTTTATTAGCTTAAATCATTATATAATAAAGATATTATCAATAGAGTCTTTTCTTAATTGAAAAACTAAGATGCTGAAAGAAGAATTTCAACTTAAGGCTACTTATATATTATTAAGTGAATTATTTTTCCTTAAATAAATGACGACTACTGTATTAAACTTACATGCATGTAAATGATGACTATTAACCCAACGATGCTATGCAAGACAGGTATCATCACGGCCACCATCGAACTCAACTATACCACATAAATTTGTCTACTTTTAATCCACTATTATTTTTAAAAAATATTAATATTAGCAAATGTTCTTAAAATATTAATTAAAACATTATTTTAGTAAAATACTTAAAAATATTTACTAATTAAAACATTCTTTTATTATATCAAATTATAGTTTTTTTAAATATTTACTCTAATTAAAAATATTTAATGAAGTGTATCAAATGTTTCTCGATTGTTATTCTTGATTAATTTATTTTGTATTTTTAAATAAAAATTATTATCAAATACTCAAACAAATTATTGAATATTTATAAGTTCATATTGATTTTAAATGTTTATTATTATATAAATTTTAAAACTCGTCCATTATTGTTAAGTTCTAACAATCAGAAAAAGAAAAGGCCAAGAATGTTTTCCCCCCATAAAAATACACATCAATTATTTCTATTTCCGTAAAATTCTTTGTCACATAACAATTATTCCAATTCAACATTACTCTTTTCGTGAAATTGTTTGTCACCTTTGAAATTTGAATCTGACTTTAATTAATGTTCTCTATAAAACACGTTAATTACGTGTGATGTAAAATTTATTATTCCCGTTAAATAAGTTAATCAATTGGTGTATTATTTGAGTTATGCAAGAGAAATATATTGTGAACAACTCCCTTTTTTTTTCTTCCTTTTTTTTCTTTTTTTTTTCTTCTCTTTCAATATCTTTTTTATTGACTTATCATGTTATAACTTATAAGTAATGATAAAAAAAAATGTTGTAACTTGTAAGTGCAGTGCATTTATTAACTTTATTAATTATTATTTCTATCAGAAAATTTGATCAGTAATATTTTTAATTAATATAAAATTAATAAATTTTAATTTTGATCTCTGTTAAAAAATTAGAGATGTCAAAATGGGTCAGTCTAATCCATTCGGCTCAGCCCACCTCAATCAACTTTTTAAGTGGGTTGACCTAATTTGGCCCACCAATCTTAAAATTCAAATTTTTTTAACTCGATCTAGCCCACCATGGATTGGTGTGTCATATGGGTCGACTCACCAATCCACCTATTTTTTTTAAATAAATTTTAATCTAAAATAATCTCTAATCTAAAATAAAAAATTGTCAAACTAAGTATCATGCATACTACATTAAATTTAAATTAAAAAGTGTATAACTTTAAATAATCAAAAATAAAAATAAAAATCTTTTCTTGAGAGTGATTATTCATCAATATTAAATTTCATTGGATGCTTGAGTATAGGGATGGCAATGGGGTCCCATGAGGGTGGGTAATAGTAAACTCGTCCCCACCCTGCTGGATGAAAATTGGCCCATATTCGCCCCATACCCGCGCAGGTATCCGTTAAGCGGGTACCCATGAATTTCTTGAATATCCGTGGATATCCATGGATATTTATAAATTTTTTAAGAAATTAAAAAAATTATATTATAAATAATTTTAAGTTTATATTTAATGTCATTGTAATATTAAAAATAAAAATTTAATGTTAATTTTGAACTTGTAATTAATGTTAATTTTGTTGAAATAATAATAAAAAAAATAAGATAATCAATAACTTAAAATACATCAATCTCACAACAAGTAAGTGAAAGTCACATATTACAAAGTTACAATAATTCAATTTCATAATGTGTGATGACTAATGAGTGGACTGTGCGACTGTGAAAAAAAGAAGAAGATGAAAGTGTAGTTTTAGGATTATGTGGTACAAGGATAATTAAGATATTTAAGAAATGTTATTAAACAGGTACCCGCGGGTATGAATACCATCATACCCGCCCCCGCCCTGTTTATAAATGGTTAAAAAATTATCCATCCTCATTATCCGCGGGTACCCAATTAGCTTACCCATTTATTATCTGTAGCGAATTTTACCTACAGATACCTACGAGTGTGGATATATATTTTTTCCATCCCTACTTGAGTAGATAAATTTATAACAATTTCATGTTGTTTAACATTAACTTTGTCTTTATCTACAAAAATAATGGTATCTTGTTAAAATAATACATATATAATAATAAATGATTAAGTGAATTGTTAATGAGTTTGGTTGATAGAGATATACGTAGGTCAGGTGAGTAGTTCAGCCCACCACGTGTTTAGTCCGGGAGGGTCAGGTCATATTTTTTAATCTATTATAATTTTTTTCATTTTTTTACTAAATTCAACCCGTTTTTAAGGTGGATCGAATTAATTCACGAGTCGAAATCTACTTTAACAGCACTAAATTTTTATTTATTTATTCTTTATCATCCTAAAATTAGAACTATTATTTATAGCATGGAAGATGAGATAAAGGTATTTTACGGTTTAAATAATATTTTTATATAAAACATTAAAATACCATAATATGTCTAAATGTTAATTTGATCATGTGGAATGTGTTTTTATTTTTCTTTCATATAGTAGGGTAGTTGGCTCTATAGTCTTCAATATGATTGATTTGCCTGCCGGACTTGACTTGGGATTTTGTTTGACTCTTGCTCACATGATATCGCATTGGGCCATGCCATGCAGCCCATTCTCACACACGACTCTTCAGTTCAGTGCATCACTACAATCATTCTAAATTAAATCAAATAGTTGTGAGGTGAATAGGAAAATGGGTTTCTGCTGACCCTTCATCGTTGTCAATGGTGTCTCCAGGTCTCACCATGAATTTTCTGTCTAGTACTTATAATCAATGTTGAATTTTGTGAACTTTTAATAATACTACCTGTAACGACTTTGAAGTTAAATTTAGTCTTTGAGTGACAAGTTTATAAAATACAGAAAACTAGTACGGACGCGAATAAGCTCCAAATGTATGAAAAAATCCTGTTTGTGCATAATTCAACAATCAAAGGAGGATTTATATAAGTTGGTTAAATAAAGTGTGTCAATTACTATATATATATATATATTATATTTTTTTTTTATATATATTTAGCTTGATTTTCATATATTAAAAAAAAATACATAATTAAATAACAAAATGACTCATCAATAGGCATGGCAACGGGGCGGGGCGGGTACGGGTTTGATGATA